GCATTATTGGCACAGAGCTTTTTCTAATACTGTCAACTGCCTGGTAGTAGGCTTGAGTCCATTCACCACTTTTCAATTTTGATGTATGACATTTTACCAAAGCCACGTGACTTTTAAAAAGTTGCATTAACAGTCAGGGGTTTGGTCTTTTTTTAGAATTAAAAGAGTAAAAACCTATTACCTACATATAATCTGAAATCTGACTATTCAGACTTTTTACACTTTAAAAAGGCAATATTTAATGTAACTCCAAACAAAAGCCAAATCAGAATTGGCCAAGCATAAGAACATTATACAAACTATTTTCATAGTGTAGTTCTGTGTACAAGAATGACTGAAATTAAATTGTCTTATTTCTAGCCATTTTCTTCCATAAACAATAACAATCACAGATAAAAGGACTGCTTGCAACCTTACCAGAAATTTCTTGGGGGAACATTCTAGTCTTCAAAACAAACAGTATCTGTCAAATTCTTACTGCAAAATCTAAAATGTTAATCCATGTACTGTATTTCATTTGTAATAAGTCTTTGTGATAAGGTTAACATTTCAGCACATAACACAAATAAGAGAGCACCAAACAATGAAAATTACTCTGCTTATGTTTCCGTATTAGAATTTTATTTGCTAAAGGGTAAAAACAGATTTGCAAAATTCACAGTTAACTTAAAACAATAGTTTTAAACCTTTTATTCCTAGCCCTTACTGCCTTCAGGAAGGGAAGAACATCTGGTTATTTAAGGAACACAATATGTTCACATTTTCTATGACTTTTGTTTCTAATTGGATCTTAAAATTTTTTTGAATTTGAACAACTAGTTAGAACAATGTTTTTTAATCACTTCATATTTTTCAGACTGTCCTCCTTCTATCCCTCTACTTATTCAGTGTATGGTTTTTGGAAATCTGCTCAGTGGTTCTAATATGATAAAGACAAGGAAATAAGAATTAGGATTATGGCATAGAGCTAAGTATAGAAATCAAATTTATGGTGAACAGAGTACAGAATGCTACAAACAGGTATCTGACATCCAGTCTTTATATATAGCATACATTTTAAAAATTTTCATACAGTTCTTGGGCCACTTACATACCTGGCAGTTTCATTTATTACAGATACAAATAAATGTCTAATACAAATGAAGAATTGGGTGAGCAACAGCAGTAACTAGGATTCCACTATTTTTAAAACTAATGAAGCTATAGCTCTTGTTTGGAAAGGTGAGCAGAAGACCTGGGTTCAATTGCTGGCTCTGCCATTGAGCTGTGTGATCTTGAATAAGTTTTAAACTTCACCTTAATCCTCTGTGTTCATCTGCAGTAGGAGGGGCTGGATTAGACTCTCTAGGTTTTCTGCAGTTCCAAAATGTGACAGTCTAAATAAAGTAGATTAACTACATTCTTTATTATGTCTTCTTTGTTCCATAATATTTAAAAGTGGTAACAAGTTTTCAAATAATTCTGACACAGTAAATTAAGGAACCAGATGCTCTTTAAGTTCAAGTTGTAGGGTTAGCTTGCCATCTTGATAAAATAGCAGCTGACAAATATATAATTGGCTACAACTTCTGTTTAGAATGTAGATATGGGTTCCAGAAAAATGCTAGGTGAATGGGACACACCTAGATTAGAGTCAGTATTGGAAGAGGCTTAGCATTTGAGTCAGAATTCAATTCTACCCTTATTTTCTTAACACCAAGCAGTGCAGAACACAAAGCTAAATAAAAATAAAATAAAATAAAAAAGAACAGCATCATAAGGAGAAATAATTGAAAAAAAGTCAATAAGCAAATAGCTACAATACAAGGTGTTGTGAGGACTCATGTCCTATTTGACCCGGAGAATGGCTTTCTGGAGAAGGCAGATGGATATAGGAATCTCAGGAGAAGGTGAGTAGATGCAAGGTCATGGAGCCACTCTAGCTAGCTTGGAAGCTTACAAGGTTTTTTGGCCGTGGGAAAGCCATCTAACCTTAACTTCTCTGCACTGAGAAGCAATGAGGGAAGATAACCTGCTCTGCCTACCTCACAGCTTGTTGTGAGGGACCACATTGAGCCCATCAGAGTGCTTGGAAACTGAAAGAACATGGCCCTATTATTACAGTTTACAGGCCCATTATTTCCAAATGTCTGTTCAAATAAGAAATAGTTCCAAAAATATGAAGATAGTGTAAGGAACCTCTGGGACAACTTCAAGCGTACCAACATCAGAATTATAGGGGTACCAGAAGGAGAGAGAGGGCAAGATATTGAAAACCTTTTTGAAGAAATAATGACAGAAAACTTCCCCTACCTGGTGAAAGAAATGGACTTACAAGTCCAGGAAGCGCAGAGAACCCCAAACAAAAGGAATCCAAGGAGGACCACACCAAGACACATCATAATTAAAATGCCAAGAGCAAAAGATAAAGAGAGAATCTTAAAAGCAGCAAGAGAAAGACAGTCAGTTACCTACAAGGGAGTACCCATATGACTGTCAGCTGATTTCTCAACAGAAACCATGCAGGCCAGAAGAGACTGGCAAGAAAGAAATAGTTTCACTGTAAAGCCGGCATCACAGCTGATATAAAACAACTAAAGCTCAGTGTCTCAAGCTCTACTTGGCAGAGTCTGTTCTCAACTCAGCAACTTCACTGGGATTCAGGGGCAGCAGCATGACCAAGTGCTTTTCCGAGGCTGACAATGAACCCCTAAGCTCAGAGTTCCTTGTTTATTTTTTATATGATTGAGTCTGTCAGCAGCACTCAACACTACAGTAATGTGAAGCTGGGATATGAAAAGTGTACTTTCATGACTCAAATCTCATCTTTATACTAATTTACTTCATAGAGATTTGTGTGTTTATATACTTACTCTGATCAATTTGTATCAGGGATGATTCAAGTGTTGTGTTGTTGCTAATAATAGAAAACATTCAAGGCACTCTGATGTTTAGATTTTTATAGGATATGGGTGGGGTGTGAGCATCACCTTTCCCTCTATTTCCCCCCCTCAGCATAAATGGCTTCCTTTATGACTTTATAAGACATTAACTATACTCTAAACTCTGAAATCACTTGTGGATTTCTGTAATATATATATAAACTTCCTTTTTATTGTATCTTTATAGCACTGGACTAAATCCTGTTAGATCGTTAGAAGTCAGTTCTTATGGACAAAGGATGCTCTGGTTGGGTGGATCATTAGACACAATTGATTTCAACCACAAAAGAGAAGACCAATTCCTGCCCAATTTATTATGTCTCAGGAATATCAGTTTAAGATACTACATTTTGGACCATTATCTTAATCATGTTTTTACTTGGTAAGATCCTGAATGTAAAAGTAGGGGTTACCTTTTTATTAGATACTTACGCTATAAATTATTTTTTTCTCTTAAACCTTAGAAAGCATATTTGTTAATCCTTATAGAATGGCTTTATTATACTTGTATATTAGATATACTACATTATTGAGATAAAAGTATTCTATTAAAATCACAGATTACACTAATAACATTGACAGATTTATTGTATACAATTCTGCAATTAGAAGAGTGAATAATTCATAGTAAGAACAACCATAATTAGCTAGGGAAAAATGATCAAGATCAATAGATTTAGGTAACATATTCATTTCTACCTTCAATTAAACCAAGCAAATTACACAAGTAGATAATTCAAATAGTTATTTTTGAACTTTTCCCCACTCTGTATAACTCTAAGAATTCCTAATGCTGAGCAGACAGAATTTACCTTAAGTTTGTAGAGTAAAACTTATTGACCAGAAACCTCATTATTTTTTTAATGGATATTTTGTAATCTTGGTTATTTTTTACAAAAAAATATATACTTACACAAATTACATATAACACATATATGTAATAATATAAAATATGGAACTTTTGATTTTCATAGTCAGACTCTTAAACCTTACCAAAATAATTGCTATCTTATGTATCAGAGAAGCAATGGATTATATTTCTGATACTTAATGAAATTTTGTAGAAGGGAAATGATAAAATTATGTATTTCTGCAGAAAATGGATATAGGCACAAGGAAATGAATTATTTTAATCAATTAATAAATAGAGAATATACTCAAATGTTGAAGTCTACGACCAAAGAAAGGGCAGAAATCCCTTTGAATCAAAATGTATGTTGAACATGTTGAACATGGAGGCCCAAGTTGATCAGACAGAGCTTTGGCAATGGATCCACAAACAGACTGACTCAAAGACAGCTGGACAACTGCCAACAAGACTGTTGGTGATTCTGCCAAAGAGCCAAAGGCTGGGAATACCACCCAATGTCTGGCATTCTCCTATTCGTGTTTGAAGCTTTCTCTCTTACATTTCGTCCAATATTTTTGTTTGGCTCAAATGCATCAAAAATTCACAGATTTTTTTAGATCATTAAATGTTCTTATTTTCAAGAAATATAACATTAGTTGTAAAAGAGCACACTTTTTCTCCGAAGTGTAAAGACAATTTTGGTGACTTGCTTTAAAGTTCAACTAGAGAAATCAGCATTATAGTCTGTTGAAGTCTTTATTTTATTAGGCTACTCTTCACCCCCCAAATAAGAAATACATATTTATAATATGAAATAATTTAGTATTTCATAATTTCATAAGTTGCTATAGAACTGGTCCTTTTTCATAGCTCTGATGTCCTGGTCTTCACATGGCCCCTGAGGCTTTATTTGGATAGGCTGGCCCTCTGAGGGGTTCCAATGGTAATGAAGGTGGTGATAAAGAGAAGCAAGCTCATCTACTTTCTTGCATTCTGAGGAGGCAGGAGGACAGGACAACCTTTTAAGGGACAAGAGATGTGTGCTCCATTTAATTTGCTGCTCAGTTGCTAGGCAATGAGGTATATGAGTTTTGGCCTATAACTCTGGGCAAATTCTTTCATCAGACAATTCATCTGCCATTAGACAAATTCCCCATGAGGAATTCTTGGCATCATACAGAGACTCCAATTTTTCTGGAAAATGGGTATATCCTACTTGGGAAGCTTACCTTTGGATCTCGAAGGAACAGAGCCTTAAGGATCAGTGAGTGTACATCCCCAATCACTGGGTAATGCATTAGAAGGCCGAGACAGGTCTGGTAGTTACTAGAGATCACTAAATAAGAAGGAAAAAATAATTCAGAAGCAATATTTCTTCAGATGTTTGTATTACTGAGTAAAAATACAACAACAAGTCAAAGAAAGTAAACGAATAACTGCTTTGACAAACGGAAATGGGGAGAAGGGACCTTCACCCAATGGCCTCTGAGGCAACAAGCTGAACTGTTAACTGCAATCTAATGAACTAGCACGTAGCCTCAGGGAGTGCTGGAAGGAAAATCTTCAGACACAGATATGTGTGTGTGTTTACAATATAAATAATCTCTGGAAGCATGCATATTTACTGCCATTTACATGGCTGTGTTCAAATGTCTAGTTTTGCTGCTTAGAAATTACAAAAATATCATGAATGAGAAAGAACCAGTTTAAAATTTTCATAAAATACTTATCCTGATTTTATGCTTCATAACTTACATGTTACATGTATTCATTTTTATATATATACATACTAAAAATTATTATTATTTTTTTGTTTGTTTGTTTTTAAATCTTTATTGTTCAGATTATTACAGTTGTTCCTCTTTTTTCCCCCCATAGCTCCCCTCCACCTGGTTCCCACTCCACCCTCTGCCCTTACCCGCCCCTCCACTGTCCTCATCCATAGGTGTCCAGTCTCTTCCCACACCCCCACACCCCTTTCCCCCTGAGAATTGTCAGTCCACTCCCTTTCTATGCCCCTGATTCTATTATATTCACCAGTTTATTCTGTTCATCAGATTTTTTATTCACTTGATTTTTAGATTCACTTGATAGATATAAAAAAAATTTTTAAATGTATTTTCTTCCAATTATTTGTTTTTCTAAAGGTAACAAGAAATTTAGGGAAAATATCTAAGCAGTATTTCTGGGAGGAAGAATATCAAAATCTTCATAGATAAGCCTAACTGCGTGCCTTAGATTGTCATTTAATTTTTTTTCAAATCAACCTAATTATGGGCACAGTTATTAAACACATCTTTCAGGCAGGTCTATGTAAACTACTTCATTTCTTGGCCATCCATCAGCCACACTGTCACAGTCGGGCCCAGTAAGGATGCTCGTTTTGTGAGCCACACGGACACCCTCCACACCACTGTGAAGAAACTTTAGTTACAACTTCCTGTGGCTGCAACTAAACCCCTTTTATTAATCAGAGTAGTTAGTTGAGAAAGATTCCATAGGAAAACTGTGATTCAACAGAAACAACACAGATCACAAAATAAATGTTTGTGATCAGAAATACCATTGATTCTTAGATCCCCTCCCCCTTCTGTTGGAAACAGCATTTCTTGCTATACCTTCCCATCCCTCCCTCTGCCCATGAACACTGTGGGGAAAGGAGACAGGACTGGGCAAAATGAATAATTATAATCTATGTAAGGAACCACTTTATCATCTTCATTTCCGTTGCTGATCTGACAGCTTGTAATTTCATACATCTGCTTTCATTTGTAAAGCACTCACTTATCCTACCCTTTCTATATCTGTTCAGACTCTCCTTTTCTTATTTGTTCATTTTGTCATATTCATATTCAGTTACCTATTGTCCTTTTTTCTCTAGAATTCAAAAAGCTTGGATACTAAGAACAGTATAATGTTTTCATGTACAGTCTTCTTGGAGAGCTAACAAATAAATAAAACTTAGATAATCAATTCATTTTATAACTCATATTCTCCCAAAAGTTATAATGATTATATATTAGTAACTGACACAGGAAGTATTCTTGTATCTTTTGGAAATGGTTATGGCCTTGGGATTCAAAGATGTGGGTTTGAATCCCAGGACACCATTTGAAACTTTCATTAAAGTTTCCTGAAGATTAAATGACATAATCTATGTGACTGATTTATAGCAGCTGCTTAAAACCTGTTAAAGGTAACCTTTCTAAGCTTAAGTTTAGCCATCTGGAAAACAACTTTCTCATTTAAAAAAACAATATGCCTACCCTAACTGGTTTGGCTCAGTGGATAGAGTGTCGGCCTGCAGACTGAAAGGTCCCAGGTTCGATTCCGGTCAAGGGCATGTACCTTGGTTGCAGGCACATCCCCAGTAGGAGGTGTGCAGGAGACAGCTGATCGATGTTTCTCTCTCATCGATGTTTCTGACTCTCTATCCTTCTCCCTTCCTCTCTGTAAAAAATCAATAAAATATATTTAAAACAAAACAAAACTATATGCCTACCTCATTCAATTCAATGATTATTTGTTGAGTACCTAATCCATGGCAGGCCCTATGTTAGGAGGGGGATGCAGAGATGAGCAAAGCACATCCTTGCCCTGCAGAAATGTAAACTACAGGAGGGCAGATGTGCAACAATAAGAATTTATTACTACTACCATCACAAGATGACAATGAATTATTGAAGGCTTTCTGAGACCAGGCCCATTGCCAAGAACTTTATCTGCATTATTTCATTTAGTTTCTATGATAATCTTATTATAAGGGTACAAATATTATCCTTGTTTTACAGATGAGAAAAGTGATACTTGGAAAGGTTATGTCATTTGCCCAAATCGCATACCCCTTGGTGTATAAGGTCAGGTATAGTAAATATTTAGAAAGAGGCACAAATTCTCATATTTAGGTATAAAATAGCACATAAAACAAATAATCATGGTTTAAATATAAAACAAAAATTAAGAGCTAACAACAAAACCTTAAATTAAAGTTTTAACAATTTATTGTGCATCTCCACTGAAAATAAAGCTAATGAGTGTGTGAGTCTTGCAAGGTAACCAACCAGGCATGCAGAAGACATTAAATAAATGCAATGTGCTCTGAAAAAATATTTGTTGAGGGCTTACTACCTGGAGGAAAAAATACATAATTACTACATGCAGTGTCTCCAACTGTTTAAAAACTTTTACTATACTCACTTTCCCAGTTACAAAATGGCAACATACAAAATGGACTTCAAATGAACCAGACGACCAAGTGGGGGTGGGAAGTAAATCATAAGTAAAAACAAACCTTTCATTCCTTACACTCTGGGAGAAAGCCAAGTATAAAGCAGGGTCATATCCTTCTCCAAAGAGAGTGATTTTCACCCAGTGTTAAGACCCTCGTAAGATTCTGTCCTGGATGGTCCTCATTTCTCTATGAGCTTTTGGGCACACTAATATGAAACTTTTAAATTACTTTTTTGGAAGGAGTACAACTCAGAGCAGCCATTCTTTGTCTAGTAAACGACTTCACTTAATGATTTACACCTTTAAACATACAGTTTTGCCAACTGAAAGGCAGTAAGTAAGTATCAAGAGCAGAATTACTGGTGGCCGGGGTGCAAGCATTGGAGAAAGGACCCCAAGCGGCCCCTAAGGCAGGGGTGCTAAGAAGAAGTGGAGACATGGAGGGAGAAAAACAGGTGGAGGTCTTGCTTATAAAAAGGAGATTAGGAGTTTAAATTTTACTCCACATTTGTTAGCAGTCACTGAAAGACTAGACTATACGTAATGTGATCAGATCTTTCAGAAAGATTGACATTGGCACAGGGTGATCAGTGAGAGGGAGCAAAAGAGGGACAAGAGGCAGCAGGCAGGTTAAAAGAGCACACCTGAAGTAAGAATGGGAGGAGGAGTGTAATGGGCAAAAATACTGGAAAAATGGATAGGTCTTCGTATAAAATTAAGTTTGGGGAGTGTGTGCTTATGACAAAGAAACATAAAAGCAACAGCAGACAAGAAGAACTTAGTAAAAATATTAAAAAATTTATATAAAGCTAATTAAAGGGTAGAGCAACTTTTATTTCTTTGCGGAAGTTTGAAAGATAGCTTTTATTTTTACGAAAGTTATACATGTACTTTGTTTAAGGAGTCAAACTATTCTCTAAGTCTGGTTATAAAAACAGCCATTGCTGTCTCCTACCACATTTCCCACTCCCAGAAGCACTGGCTTTCTTTTAGCTGATTAAAAAAACATACCTTCCATATTGTGAAAAAAGAAGATGCTAATATTACTAGCTCTTATTTTAAATGTTATCAACTGATGCCCCATCGAAGAAGACAAAGCTTTAACAAAGTGTGTCCTTAGCACTGAAGCCCACCCTTGCACTGACCTCCACACCCCGCGGGCATTCTTTGTCTCTCCCCCCACTAAGTTATATCATAATGTCATTGAGATCAACTTTTATTAGAGTTTTCATTTTTATAACTAGGCAAATGTTAGCACAGTGCACCACAACTACCTTTCCTTTCTTGCACAGCCTCTGTCCTTTCCTGGAGTTTATAACAGTTTGTTTTTCATTTGCCTTGTATATGCATTTAACATTAAATTAACCTGAAATGCTCTCCTAGGCATATGAATCTCTTCAGTACTTTCCAAAATCTTAGGTATTTCATCAATTTCAAGAAGTTTCTCTTGAGGCCTCTGGCTTGCTCCCTCATCGTGGGATGTCCTTCACCTCTTGCCAGTGTTGTAATCCTTATTTCCTAAAGTAACTAGCTTATTCTTTCTTGCTTGATTCTCTCACCTGGTGGAGCAACATCCTCCAAATGTTTTATGCACAAAACATAAATTTATTGAAAGCTTCTCTGTTTGGAAGATTTTCCATTGGCAACTAACAGTTTGACTAGGTACAGAATTCTGGGTTGGAAATAACTTTTCCTTCAAACTGGGAGTACTGACTGCTGCAGAGCTTTCGGGTTTCCAGTTGCAAAGCCCCCAACCTTCTAATCCCTAATCCTTTATGTGACTTGTGTTTTCTTCTCCTCTCCACTAATTGTCTGTAAATCCATGATAATATACCTATTTTCATAATAGACCCTTTCATTTTAGAAATTCATGTTTTTCTGTTTAACTAGAAATTTCTAATTGTTTCTTTGATGATTTTCTCCCTTCTGTTTATTTTGTGTTTGTTGTTTCTTCTCTTTCTCTTTTAAAGAAATCTCATTTAGATGGAATCTCGTGGCCGGTCCTCTAATTTGCTTTCTTATTTTCTAACTCTGTTTTATGTGCTAGTTTCTGGGACACTTTTTCAATTTTATATTCCAGCCATCTGATTTTCATCATATTTCAAT